ATTCACTTAAAGACATGTCGTATTTTTCGGATTATAAGGAGCAATATCAATAATGTTGAATTCTCTCGTCTAGTTTCATACGTAAGGTGCACAGAATTATAAGGAGCATTAAGAGAAACAAACAGACGACACTTGAGACTGATCCTTTAGTCCAGGCGTCCACCATCCATTGTCAGATCATGGTGTAACTTGTCCGGTGTTGTCTTTCTGTCTTGGTGAATGTGTTTTATGAATGTGAATGTGGGTGGATCATTTAAGTTTGTTTTTTTATTTATACGAGGACGACTCAAATATACACCAAGTAATGACATTTTGACAGGTTTTTGAGCGCCGTGTATAAAATCAGTTTGAGGTCAGTAAACACAAGCAGAATTAATACATAAGGTGCACTGTCAAAGGATGTTAAGTGTATCTTACAGTCTGAAAAATACAGTACTAATATAAAACAATCATAATGAGACAGGGAGTCAACAGATATTTTATTTTGGACCCAAAACATTCAAAAGAGTTTACATAAAATGATGGGAGGAGGCGTGTGCCAGTTGTGCCAAAAGAACAAACTCAATACAAAAAGTATAATGAGACTGGGCCTAACTGAAACCCAGACTAAGAAATTAAACAAATCAAAAGTCTATCTAACTGATCTAAAAAAAAAATATTAAAAAAATAGAAAGCTTTGATACTATTGTTGAGGAAAATGACCCTTTACCTCGCGTGTTTGTTAGTTTCTGCTAAGACAAAAATACCCTTGAAACCAAGATACACTTCAGAGAAGAATTTACTCAATCAAAGCAGTAACAGGTAATACTTGTACAAGGAGTCTGTGCTGACATTCCCATGTAGAGACTGAATATTTACACCTATACAATGATTTTTATACATAAACTATAGTGGGAGGCGACCATGGTTTAGACTTAGTGCCTCTTCGTTGGTGCACAGGCCAGCTAGGCCTCTTGGCACGTTGCACAATCTTATCCGATTGTGACAAGGATCCAGTGTTGTGCAAGTTCACGCTTTTCATGAACTAGTTCAAAGTTCAGTTCACACATGTTCAAAGTGAATATTTCACATTCATAGTTCACAATTTTAATATCGAACTAGTTCAAAGTTTAGTTCCTTTTATTTTTAGGGTTAGGGTTCTGCACTTATTTTTCAAACTGACTTCCAGTTTACAACAACTTTACAAGATATTAACCATAGCCATTCTAGAGCCACATCAGCTCGTTTGAGATTATCATGTGTTTAATTCAGCTTTGCCACATTTGTTAAAACTGCATGGCTAATTTGCATAAACTGTAAACGCTGGAAAAAGGCATTTTTTTTCCTTGTGTGCTGCGTCAGCTTCTATCGAACTAAAGCACACGACTACACGTGTTCTTTCTGTGGCAGAGGGATGCCACTGCAACTTTTAGACGCATAATTTGAAGAATGTACTGAAAGTGAATGAGGGCAGCTCCTCTGCTTGGGCAAGATGCACTTGGAGCAGCTCGTCCTGCGCACGTAGATTTCAGAAAACAGGATCTATTCTATTTTTTTGACGCTCTACGTGAACATAGGTGCATATCCCCGTCAAAATCCACAGAGAGCATGGATCTATTATCGTATTTGTGCATTTACCATCAGCACATTGTGCTCCCTGGGCAGTTCTGTATTGTGTTAAAGAGCCCAGATCCACATAGACTGTTAATTAGTGCTTTGAAATTTACTTTTGAAATCCTTGTGTTTGCCATGGTCAGCCTGTACAGAAGGTAAATACAAGCGGCTAAACGTGCCCTGTCAAGTTTGAGCAGCTTTCCCATTGAGAGACACAAGAGTCAGTACGTTCCGCTTGAGCTGCCGGTGGAGGCGCCTTCGTGTTGACACGTGGCTGTGGTTTCGCGAGGTTAAGTGCGAGCAGATCGTCACTCATCAGGTGAAAAAAATTCCGACGTTTAATTGAACCCAACAGTGACGTACGTCGTTCATCTCACATAATTTGAACAAATTCTCGTTCAAGTTCTTGATTTACAAAAGTGTTGTGTTCAGTTCAAAGTTCACTGAAAAATGAACGTGTTCAATGAACGCGTTCATTTTGAAGTCGTTCATGCACAACACTGCAAGGATCCCCCGGATTCATCTCACTCCTCTTACAGGAGCATCTTGCTGGTCTGATCAGGATAATGAGTTGTGAGTCAGCATATAATAAGTCCTTGTCCTATTTAATTTTATTTCAATAAGTCCTTGTCCTATTTTCCCTATCCTACATGATCTGAAACTATCTCAGCACCCTTTATCTGTAATCTAGTCCCTGTTTTCTGGGTCATTGTATAGTGAATTATAATAGAACAATAATAAAATCTAGCAGTACATCAATAACTGTACAGCAGCACATCAGTTACATCATAGCAGTAGTTATACACCACCTAAGCCTAGTTATTTATCCTAACACTATTAAACAACAAGGGTGGCAACAACTGCTAAACCTGGTGTGAATAAACAAACATAATCCTACATGATGTAAAGTGTACAGGAGACACACTCACCTAAACCAACCTCCCAACCAAAGTGACCAGGCAAATAACACTGTTTGAAAGGTCCTCTCCATGCTCTGATTGGTTGTCAGTTTGCCAATCAGGAATTTCTAACCAGGTCCCGCCCACAGCGCCTTCACACAGAGCAGAGGAGACAGCAGTAACAAGAACCTTTAATACTTTTAGTCTAATTCAGTTTAGTCAGTTTAACACAAAAATGCACAGTGTTTCTCAAACTGGGACAAATCAAAGACCAAAACAAACCAACCTGAGTCTGATGTTGAAAATCATGAATAAAATCTGCCTTTTTGATGATTTTACTTGCGATATCGGTTATTGCATATGCCAGCATTGTCATATCGATATGTTTACAATATATTGTGCAGCCTTAATTTTAAGTCGTTCTGCTGTTTTAAATGACGACTACTGGAGCTGTAGTTGACTTTTCAGTCTTGTTTGGAGTTATTGTGCAGGACTTTGCAGCTCTGTTCCTTTTGAATGCACAGAACAGGTTTAGCAGCATTCAGGAACACAGCTTTTTCATTTTTTGTGAATGTGTCAGGCTGAAGTGTACCGTGTTTTCTGCACTATTAGGAGCTCTGGATTACTGTCATTAAATGGTCTATTTTCAAACTTTTTTCACAAATAAACCGCACTGGACTTTAAACAAAACACAACAGTTGGATGGGTCAGTGGGACCAGTGTTGGGAAGGTGACTTTTAAAATGTATTCCCCTACAGATTACAGATTACATACCTCAAAATGTAGTTTGTAATGTAATCCATTAAATTACTTAAAGTGAGTAACGTAATCTGAATACTTTGGATTACTTGTATTGTCATGCTTTTTTAAAACTACATGAATGTACCAACCACATCCTGAAAATTCTTGTTTGTTTTCTTCAAATTGGCTGAGCCCAAGTCTCCATGAAGAGGCTTTTGTTTGCTGTAAAGTAGCAAAGACTAGAATCTTAACATGAGATGTTTTATGTGCTAAAAGAAAATAAAAAGCTCAGACTTTCCTTAACCAAATTAAAAATATTATTGATAAAGAAATTATTTTTATATGAGATCAGTGCTGCCTTCAATTATGTCCACCTACTGTTAGGTGTCATACTGTTAAGACCTGGTTCAGTCCTGGTTTAGACCTGGTTCAGTCCTGGTTTAGACCTGGTTTTAGGCCTGGTTTAGCCCAAAATGTGAAAACAGGAAAATACCACTATGTAATCCATTTATTTCAACAAAGTAACTGTAATCCAATTATCACTCATTGAAACAGTAACTGTAACTGAATACAGTTACTCTGTATCAGTTAATTTGTACTCTGATTACGTAACAGCTGGTACATGTAATCTGTTACTCCCCAACACTGAGTGGTTTTTGTTTGTTTGTGGCGTTCACGGTGACTCTGGGCTTTGTTCAGTTGTGGCGTGTAGGGAGGGTGCTGTCTGGGACCAACGGATTGTCGGTGTGTTCGCAGTGACTCAGTTGTTCAGTTGTGTCTATAAGTGGCACATTGCACTCGCTTTTTTCGGTTCGTTCCTCCGTTCCGTTCCTCGTCGGCGTGGAGTGATGAGTGTGTCTGTGGGTGTTTGTCGCTGTGCGGTTGCTGTCTGCTTGTTTGTGTTTGTGTGTTTGCGTGCGCTGCAGCTTTGTAGTTTACTGAATTCGTGCTGGGACACCCGAGTGGATTGGTGTATAGGGCGCTCTGGATTGTGGGGCGCGCAGTCGTTTTTTGATGCGGTTGGAGGCTTAAGAGTGCGCCCTGTAGTCCGGAAAATACGGTACTCAGAGCAGAAGACGTTATGCAACTATTCACTTGATTTGTTTAGAGAAATGTCCCTCAGTATGGCAGCTGACGGGCACTGAGGCAGAACACAAAGTGGGTTTGTTTGAGCCTACTTAATTGAGTTAGTTAAGTAAAAGTACAAATACCAGAGTAAAGAAATACTCAAGTAAAATTATCAAATGAAACAAATGACTAAAGTAAAAGTGTTAAAGTGCCTGTTTAAAAACATACTTAAAGAACAAAAAGTAAAAGTATGTTGCACAGATGAGATCTAATAAAGTTTCAAATGTAGGGATTTTAATCAAGATTTGTGCAGAATTTTTTCAACAAAAACAATGAAATGGATCTTTTAATTCTAGCTGTTTTTTATTTGTTGTGTAATTTTTGTTTGTTGAAATTTTGAACGTATTAAAAATAAACCCTCAGCCTTTTGTGCAGGGCTCAAACAATAATAACAAAAATATTTTAGTCCTGCACTCAAACGTAATGAAGGAAAAGTCAAAAGTATCCACTTGTACTTAAGTAAAGTTCAGATACCTACATGTTTTACTCAAGTACAATACAGAACCACTTTCTGAAGCCAGCGTGCAGCTTTAGACTTTATATCTCTTTTTGAGACAGTGCACAGAGGGACTGGGCTGTGGTCATGCTGCAGGTTCAGTTTAGCTCATCTGTCTCACCTTGGTGTTGTTTTTCCTCCAGGGCAGCAGGGGTAATGATGGATTACCAGGCAGCGACGGAGACCCAGGAGAGGACGTGAGTAGAACTGCATTATTTATTTATTTATTTATTTATTGCACATTGAAATGCCAGTGACGGGACAGGACTGACGCTTGTTGTTGTCATTTTGTTGTTATAAGACGTGTAGAGGGAGTCAGATTATTATTAGATATTAACAAACTTAATAGCTACTTAGTACAAGACAAAACAAAAACAACAGAGATTTACTAGAGCTCATTGTATTCTCAATGAATATTAAACTAGAATTGACTCATTATGACTGGATTTGACATTTCTGTCTGTATAAATTTGCCTGTAAGTAAAATGAAGTTAAAAAAAAACTCTGCACTGGCAAATCATTTGAATTGAAATAAAAATGTAGTGAAACCAGTCAGAAGTAATAGTAGGTGAAATAACTTCTGCACATTCTGTGGATATAATTATACTGACAAACGAACCCAGACTAAAGCTGCTCTTCACTCCACCATGTATTTTAGTCTGATGACACTGTTTGTCACACTACAGGGCGTGAGGAGTTGAAATGATAGTCGTGGAGTGAATATCAGGCTCCAGGCTCTGTGCGCCTCCATAATTACAATACAGTACATACTGAGGCTAGTGGTGTTTCTGTGTTTGTATAAGTGGGTGAGTGAAAAGTTAAAGGGGAGAGGTGGAGCTCTTGTGTGACTGAGGTGAGCTCGTGTTTTGTGTTGCTCACAAAGATGATTGCAGATGCAGTAAGAGCAGGACTCAAGACTCCAGACACTCACACAGTTTGATCTCAGAGGCAGCTCTCACCTCTGACATTCAAGTCATTTGATGTCACTTAGACCTTCTTTAAATTCAGTGTAATATTGTACTGTGACGTTTGTGTCTTTTATGTATTATATACATGTTTGTGTCATGTTCAGGGCCCCATTGGAGTCCCGGGGCTCATGGGAGAGCCAGGACCCTTCGGACCAAAGGTAAGAACGCAAACACTCTGCTTCACAAACTATAATGACAATGAGCGCCTCATTTAACAAGTGTCTGCTGCCATGGTAACCAAATAACTACAAGCCAAATCCCCACAGTCTCTCTGACGCTAAAGGAGACACAGAACAATCCTGCTCCTGTGAGAACTGAATCTATCAAACAGGGCCTTTTGTTTTATTTCACCTTTGTTTAACCAGGAGGTCCCATTGAGATTCAGAATCTCTTTTTCAAGAGAGAAATGGCCAAGGCAGCAACAACACAATCTATACAAAACAATCAAATCACAAAGTATCACAATATAAAACCATGCATCTTGTGTCTCTCAAGAAAAACTCACGTCTCGGTCACCACACTCTTTACAATTTTCTTCAACTTATCAGGTGACACCAGAGATTCCAGTTTAAGATTTATCTGTAAATGAAAAACATGAGTCCAATGTAGAAGACAGAGGAAATGCACATGAAGTTGTGTAGTGTGTGTTATCAGATTTATGACAACAATGAGAGCCAACACTCCACGATAATACAGTACAGGAGAGACAGGTGCAGACTTTGACAGGTGAGCTGCTGAAATCTATGCAACTGTAGAACATCTGTGCAAAAATAAACACTGAGGTGAATCTGACGTGTGCAAACAAAAAATGGAGAGAGGGAAGAATGGGGGGGCAGAATTAGCACAATGTAGATGATTGGGAATTAATGTGTGTGTGCCTGTCTGTGCGTGTGTGTGTGAGAGAGAGACTAAGAGAGAAAGAGAAAGCAAGAAGGAAAAAAAGTGAAAGCAATTTTTAAAAGAAGTGTGTGTTCTGTTGAAATACACACTTCAGTATCACTTTTCATTTGACTGTAAATGTGTGGTGTCATGTGTGTATGTAGTGTGTGCATTAGGGAGACAGCGGTGGTGTGTTCATAAAGACAGGGGCTTTTGGACGGGCACTTCAGAGGTTTGTAGCCTCCTGCTGTTTGCTCTGTGATGCTTTGTTGGAGCTGAGTGATGTTCAACCTTTTGGTGCCATTTTAGTCTAGTTTAGTTTAGTTAGTTTAGAGTCGTGTGTGTGTGTGTGTGTGTGTGTGTGTGTGTGTGTGTGTGTGTGTGTGTGTGTGTGTGTGTGTGTGTGTGTGTGTGTGTGTGTGTGTGTGTGTGTGTGTGTGTGTGTGTGTGTGTGTGTGTGTGTGTCATGTCCTGTGTGCCTCAGACATTCCTCCTCGTCCTGATAATGCTGTTTGTCATCATACAAAAAGATCAGATCATTCTTTACGTCAATAGCAGCTTTATAGTGTATCCAAAACATAAACAGATAATCATAGCCTGCTTGTCCAAGGAAACCTGTAAAGTGGAGACAAAATAAATATATTATAAATGTGTATGAATGCTGTAAATGTGAGAATACAACTTAAAGCAGAGCTGTTGTGTTTGTGTGTGACACCCGTGGATCATTCTGTTATCATCTGGACATTTAGAATTACAATATGAATTAAAACAACGTAATAAAAGAAACAAGTGTGCTGACTTTACAAAACTGTGGTGCCCAGTGGGAGCTGAATTGGCCGTTAAGGTCATGACAACAAAGCGCCGCATGCTGAGGGCCCCTCCTGCACATCCCACTAAAGCACAGCTATTTTTTTATATTTAGACCAAAATGACGACACAGCGCTGCTCAATCCTACATGTATCACCCATTAAGAAAATAAAGGAGAATGAAGTATGTATGTCACAGTGGGTTAGGGTTAGGGATAGGAGCTGAAGATGGGGACTGATCATCATTGCTGGTCAAATTCTGGACTCAAACTGTATTAAGTGCAAGGCATGGCTCTGTTAGCGTGGCATTCACAGAGGAGGACGTCATTTGTCCTTAAAACGTATCTATATCTTTTACAGTATGTGTTCTTTAAGCGACACAGACAGGTTTTCATACCTTGCAGACTAGAGATGCACTGGTCTGGCTTTCTCAGTTCTCAGTTCAGTTTCTCAGATACAGATACTGATACAGGTGGGTCCGGTCAAGCGGTAACGGAGGGAAACAGAGGCAGATTTTTGACATTCAAATGTCTCTTATTCAGAAACTAGAGGGACTATTGAAATAAGTAAAGTATCAGAATGTAGGAAAGAGTTACACTCCAACAGGGTCAAGTTAAACCTGTGAGATTCTTTCAAGTTGTTGACAAAAAATTTAAAAACTCATGTCGGTAACGGAGGGAATGAAATATGCAGCACTTTTTGGGCAATAAATCCAAACAGTGATAACTCTTGGTTCTCACTTACTGTTATGTCCCCTATGTCCAACAAGGGACACAACGTGTATAAATCAACCCTTGAGGCAAAGTCGGTTTGGCAAACTTTTTGTTTGACAGCCAAACATTCATTAAAGTGCACAAAAAATGAACAAAAGGTTGGTGGGAGGAGGCATGGGCCAGTTGTGCCAAATCAACAAACAAAAAGGTATAACAAAACAGGCCCTAACTGAAAACTAGGCTACAAAAAGGAAAGAAATCAAAAGCCTAGCCTACCTGGTCTAACAAAGAGAATTTGGAAAACTCAAAACAACAAGGGTGGCAACAACTGATAACTAGTGTGTCTAACAACAAAAATCTACGTGGTGTGAAATGTACAGTGATCCCCAAACATACCTAACCAATCCTCCCAACCAAACAAACCTGGGCTAGCAGCCATATACACGGAGAGAGAGAGAGGCAGCACACAGCTCCTTTTAAACAGCCCTCTCCACTCTGATTGGCAGCTAGCTGGCCAATCAGCTCCAGTTCCGGTCACACCCACAGCACCTGAACACACAGGGCAGAGGACAGAGCAGTACAAAAACAAAACAAATGCCTGCATGTAACACTTACATATCCTTAACAAACTGGTTTGAATATTTGCTTCATATAGTTTTCTACCATATGGTACAAGATTAGGTTGAAAAACCTCTTACTTTTTGACTCATGAGATTTTTTATTAAGAAAAGTCATGGTAACGGAGGGAAAAGTAATGGAGGGAAAATTGTGCAAACAAGTAGAAGGTGCAGGATTTTACATCATTTGTCAACTTTTTTCTTTCGAATACTTTAATATTACTTCAAAATGAAAGGAAACTATTTCTATAAAATATGGCAGTCCTTCCAAGCAAATTTTTATCATTTTAAATACATTTTTTTTTCATCAACAGTTCAAAGATGGAATAACACAAGATATGATGAAATACATCCATTTATTTACATGATTTGCAGGTCTTTGAAATTTGGGAAATCATTTTTGTTCCATGTTTCATACATGGTCTGTTTAAAACATATGGAACTTTAGAACCAAAAATGGTACAGAAAAAAGGTCAACAGTTTCATAAACTAGAGTACATATGTATCTGTTCAATACATTTTTATATCAGATGCATTAACTTAAATTTTTGGCCTTGTTGTTTACTTCTGCTTGACCGAGCCCAGATATAGATTCTTAGGTTTTAGTTTCTGCTGAAACTGACATCTGATAGCAGTGCCCAGACAGGAAAAAACATTTCTTTCTTTAAATGATGAACAAAATGGATCCAGATGTGATATATTAATTAATATCGATTTTTATGAATGAATTAATGAACATAAACAAGGTAGACTTTTAATCGTTGCCGTTTAACTCAGAAAATAGCCACATTTCCTCCTCCAGTTTTGTGTCTGTTCCAAACCACAGTGTTACTGACAGAGGACTGACTGTAGACCTCTCCCTTAAAAACTTCCAGGTCGATCATTGAACATTATAATGACTCAGTCTTGATTTTGATTCAAATTTCATGAACTGTCTAGCCTTGTACTGTTAATAATTCTTCAAGTACGTGCAGGACAGAGGATACTGGCTGTTGGAGGCAATGCTCTTTCCAGGTCGCACTGCTGGTACAACAGGTAACGGGCACTTAGAAACATTGTCAAACCTGTTTCTAACATTATCGCTGCTATTATTGTTCAGATATTGAAATAAAAACTCCATGATCATGTAGAGCAGGTTAATATGAACATTTTAAGACCAAAATGACAAGGCTCACAGCATCAAGTAAAGAGAGTGATGATGTTTTTTGAAAAGAAAGTGATTTGGAATGAACGGAGGCGGGAGTGGCCCATGCTCGCTTCTTGCATCATGGTTGTCAGTGTGTTAGCTCTGTCCATTTATACAGTTTATGGTTCAGGGATTTTGTTCTGGATCAGAGCAAATAGGCCTATACCTGAAACCACAGGTGCATGACTAGTTCCTTGTATGTAAGAGGATATGACCTTACTTACAGTAAGTACTTTGAAAACAATAAAGTACACACACTGGTGTTTCCTGCACAGTACACTGATAGTGTACAGTGGGAGTTTACTCCTACACATTCATCATTGCTTGTTGCTACATTTCCCAGAGTTCATTTGAACACTCCCTCCCAGATAAATAAAGTCAACCCCCACATTAAAGTCTGTAAAAGGTTATTAAAGTAAAAGGTTTATTTCATGGTATTTGTCATGCCTCTGCTCTCTCCACATTCTCATTTAACAGAGGAGCTTTAGTGTCACCAGAGCCACACAAGTTCAGAATCTCACTGAAAGTGGCTCAGATGCCATTTTTACATGTTCATTATTATGTCAGATAAAACAAGTGAAGGTTTACACAATCAACACTGACTCTACACGTCTCAGATCTAAATGTGCTGATGGGTTGGTACATAGACTCTATACTCTATACATGGATACTTGGACTAATGCGCCAAATAGGGAGTCTCCATGCGGCTCTTTCGGCTCCTTCTGCCCTGGCTCCCATTGACTTCCACTGAAATATTGCTGTCCGTCTCTCTGTACCTACTGCTGTGAGCTTTGTTATTTTGGACTTAAAATGTTGATATGAACCCGGTCCACATGGTCCTGATGTTTTTCTTTCGTTATTTAGCCCACCAAAAAAATCCTTAGAGCCCACCTCCAGATTCACCCTGTGACTGTGAGCATCACGAGCTTCATTTGCATGGAGCTGAACGCTGTGGGTGACGTCACACTCGCTTAGTTCACTTCTTTATACAGTCTATGGTTAAAACTCAGATTAAAGCTCAGATAAAAGTCTAATGTTGGGCATGGTGTTGACATCAGCTGCAGAGTATAAATAGCTTAAAGGGCCCATCTCATGCAAAATCAACTTTTCAGAGTTTTCTACCTTCTCAGAGTGATGTGTGGGTCTTGTATTTGTCGCCCTCACACGTGACAACGAACTAAAGCTGCTACAACGATGACGCAGCAGCGACAACTATGACACATTTGATGAAGCAGAAGGCGCTTTACAACGGCCTCCTCCCTCCCTGAGATGGGCGGAGGAAGGGCGGCTCACTCAGAGTCTACGTCACGTTTGGAGGGCGGAGCCTGTGCTTTCTCAGGACGGGCGGGGGGATGAGTGATAGTCAGTCTTTCATAGTTCCTGGTCTCCAAGAAATCAGTAAGATTTCATAACTATTGGGTAATTGATGTTCCAAAACCCAAATTGTGCTTGTTTATGTGCAGAAGATAGAATGTGAAAAGAGTTATTTTACATGAGATGGGCCCTTTAAAACAATAGGCTCAGATGGGAGATTGTCTGAACCTCGCTGTGTGAAGGAGGAGTTCCGCAGGTCTTTCTTTCTTGATTTGTGTGCAGTAGACATTTATCTTAATTTCTGAGGACATTGTGGGACAAATAAGGGTTTATATTACATAGGCTTGTCTTGTAAGTAAACCTTTCACGATATATTGCTGAAGAAAATATAGACGAATAATCAAAAAGCAGGAGAATCCCAAGAAAATATTCTAAAAGTACAATATTGTTACAAAAGAATTAGCTGCAAAAAATAAATAGCAGAATGAAATGGTTTCATTAGATACATCTATAATGATGTTATAGTCATATTAGTAATATTTATTCAACCCTCTACTAATCATAGTACAGAAAAAGAACAAAAACTCCCCTACTAGTGCAAAGAAAAAGTACCCACGACAAATATTCATCCCAAAAATAACTGTATATAGTATAGCATATAGAAATTATCGTGACAGGCAAGAGCTGACATTTCAGATGAAACAGAAAAAGGCTTAAGTATAGACACTGTGGTAGAAACCGTGACTATGAATACTGGCAAACCGGATGCACTCAGCTTGTGTTGTAGAGAAGTGAAATATTTACAGACTGGCCTCACTGTTCTCTACAGTCTAAATGAATGGATGAATATACAAAAAAAAAAAATCTGTGAAATTTCAACCAACCATATGACACTATTTTCTGATCTGTGTAATGTCATTTCTTCATCACAAACAGACCTGGAGCTGTGTTTTGTTTCATTCACATATTTAACATACCAACCCTGCACATTTAGTTCTTCACTCAAACTGAAAACACTGATCCACCTTCTGATGTCATGTGGTAATACCTGTTTTGATAAGGTAACAGGTAACATTTCTTAAATATCCTCTGCAGAGACATAATATTATCTGGTTTTGCAATGTAAGATAAACTCCACTACTTCCAGTCACTCATTTGCCTGTGTTTTTATTGCTAAAAATATATATGCTTATCATGTAATCATGCTTACCAGAAGACGTTTGGAAACATGCAGATGACAACTGCCCGTGTAGTTACCGATACTGGACCAGATAAAAATATTTATATATATACAGTCTATGTACTGGGTGTGTGATAAAATGGTGGATTCAGCAGCAGCGTCTTCACAATCTGCCAGAGCTTTCCATGAGGGACGGGACTCAATGCCCCTCACAGGCAGCTGGTTGGAACTGTTGATCTGCCGAACATGACAGAACCCTACAGTGACATATATATTTTATTACGTTAGACAAATTATAATACACAAATTAAGAGGCAGTTCATAAAAGGAAAAAAGAAAGAATACAGTGACATCCAGATGAAGAAAACCGGGTCAGTTTTTGTCTTCAGATTTTGTCAGTCACTAAAACCAACCATAGAACCGTAATAAAAGTTCTTATTATAGATCCATGACACTGAGGAAGTTGTCATCCTCATGTTTCCAAATGTCTGCCAGTTTTGTGACGTAAACATGAATAGAGCTCATTGGGAGCCACAGAAAGAAGCAGTTAGAAACCCCCCACTAAGAATGGTGACACTTTAATCTATTGCACTTTAACATGTTCACTTCTCACCCACGCCTCTGCTTACTATATGTGGCATTCCTGAGTCAAACAGAAACTGAACTGTGTCACTAATGCCCTTTAGACACATTCTTTAAACACTATCCAAATATTTATCAGAGCAGAGATCAACACTGAAGAGGACACTGGAGATGACTGTCTGGTAGAACATGGCAGGAGCTTTTAGCAGATGTTAAAGGATTTCAGCTTTCTGAAGAAGTACAGACTGCTCTGTCCCATTTTCTAGAGCAGATCTGTATTCTCTGACCAGTCCAGTATATAACTCTCTATAAGCAACTGTGTCCTGCTCTCCTAAAGTCCACCATCATCTCTTTGGTCTTTGCGGTGTTCAGTTGAAGGTGGTTATCTCTGCACCAAACCACACAGTCCTCAATGAGCTGCCTGTACTCCCCTTTGATGACACAGACATTGTGGGGTGTATAACAGTGACAGAGTCCTTCTGCGGGTGACACAGCTCTGAGTCATATCTAAAGTCCGGTATGTACAGGCGTAAACACAACTGGTGACAGTACAGTCCCTGTGGAGATCCAGTGTTGCAGACAACAGTGTCAGAGATCCTGTCAGAGATGCTGTCCCCCAGTTGGACATACTGAGGTCTCCCAGTGAGGTCATCTGTAATCCAGCTAACCAGAGAAGAATCCACTTCCATCTCGATTAGTTTGTTTCTGAGCAACAGAGGATGAATGGTGTTAAATGTCAAAAAGGTCATCCTCACAGCACAACTACCTTTGTCGAGATGAGAGAGGGACCTATGGAGCAGGTAGAGCTCAGCATCATCTACCCCAACTTTCTCCCGATAAACTGCAGAGGGAGGAGGGCGTGGCTGATCTGGGGTCTGTGCTGGTGGTGGAGAACCAGTCGCTCCATTGTCTTCATCACTGGACTGTTGTCATTCAGCTCCTTGGGATGAGGCTTTTTGAGGACGGGGACAATACAGAATATCTTCCATTAAGTAGGGACCCTCCCCAGACTCAGACTCATGTTAAATACACTACCAGTCAAAAGTTTTAGAACATCCTAATTTTTACAGTTATTTATTGCAATTGAAGTGGTGCCAGTACAATGAGTCGCTTGAAATGGTACGAACTGAACAGACAGAGGTTAAAAAAAAAAAGATAAAAGAACAAAACATAAGTCCAAGCTCTACCAAAACGACCTCAGGAAAAAAGAACAAGATGGTAAAGCTTGAAAACCTGGAGTGTCCAGCTGCACAGTGTCCAGACTTAAACCCCATCGAGCTGGTTTGAGATGAACTGGACAGAAGAGTGAAGCAACCTACAAGTGTCACACATTTATGGAACTTCTGCAACAGACCTGGAAAGAACTTTCTCAACAATATTTGATTTCTATTGTAAAAAGAACGAGCCACGAGTGTGTTCAGCTGTTCTATCTGCCAAAGGTCAACACACACATCAGTCAAAAGTTTAGAATATGTTTTGATCAACAGGAAACGATAAAAAAAATGGAAAAAGTGTGGAGTTCTAAAACTTTTGACCGGTCATGTATACCCTGCAGATGCTCCCCAGCTCAGCAGCACAAGCCTTCAGGAGTCTTGAAGATATTCCATCTGGCCCTGCTGCTTTACTGACACAGATTCTTCTTAGATGACTCGCTGTGATGCTCTCTGTGATGCTCTCTGTGATGCTCTCTGTGATGCTCTCTGTGATGCTCTCTGTGGGACAGTCACGTGAGGATACCAAAGCAAAAGAATGAGCGGTGTCACTGTTGTTGTGGGATGATAGAGGAGCAGTGGCCCCAGTGGAGGATGTGACAGCACAACCAAATCTTCTGAAGAAGTGGTTTAACTGTTTGGCCTGATCCACACCTCCCTCTGCTACATGGCAGTAATGATCTTCACACCATCTACACCTGGTACATGAAGATACATGTATCTGTAATACTCACAGCACACATGCAGCTAAGACATGTACAGAGGCCGAGAATACCAATAGTCACAACAAATACACAAGAATACTTTTCTGATTATCAAAGAGAGGGAGTGAATATTATAGACATTTTAGCTGTTTTCTAGTGCATTTGAATGTGTTCCATTTGGCTGAAGTGTGGTTATATTTATGGATTCTGTAATATACATTATGTGGTAGTGCCACACTAGGTCCTAAACTGCTCTAGAGTGCTCTATATGAATACTCCAACTTAACACTTGATTTATTTACCATGGCCTAAATATTATAGACATGAATTATGAAACTACTGTGACTCGGGACGCAGGGCTCTTCACTCTCTCTTTGCTTCTCACATGTTTGAGGAATCCTGTATTGTCCTGTTTTCACCTACCTCCTATCTCCGCCCACTGCTCTGAACTTACACTTGTGATTATTCAAATTCTGAATTGTGATTTACAATGAACACGATGTAAAATGATGTACTAGATATCTTCTGCATCTCATTTACGAGGTTGTGGGTTAGAATCCAGATCATATTTAGTGTAATTTTCATTTTAAATGTTAATAAATGTAATGTCTGTTTTTTTAGGGAGCTAAAGGAGACCGTGGCGTGAGGGGACGAAGAGGAAGAGTTGGAGCTGTGGTGAGTTACAGTTTCAATTTCAAAACAGAGAAAAAAGGGAAACAAGCGCAATCAGAGGTAGCAACAATGTCAAATGAGGCGTCGGTGGGTTCAGATCATCAGCACAGAAGCAGATTATGAGGAGTCCAGCCCATATGACATGATCATTATATCCACAATGTAATGTGTGTATGTGTACAGGCCCATGAACATTAGTGTGATGTTGGTCACACATGAGAATGTCTGTTTACACTAGTGTGGAACAAAATGTCATTTTTCATGAGTTGTGTGTATGTTAGTTGTGTGACTGTAGATCAGTGTGTTGTGTTTCACCAGAAAAACAAGAAATGGAAATGATTTTTGTTCCAATTAGAATTTTAACGGCTACACTGAAAGAGAAAGAAACTGTTAGAATTAGTGATTATCTGGAAAACTATTCATATTTGACTCTACAAATGCATAGAATTATAAATAGATCATCATTTTTCTGAGATTTTGAGACTCTCCTGTTGCTCGAGCTCTTTCCTTCGCGGAGTTATGACCAAAAACACATATTTGACCTTGGTTGCCTTGACCTTCAACTGACCTTGACCAGTTTCAACCTGTAACGTCCAGTGTGCCCGGTTATGTTTGTGCCAACTTTGTGTGATAATTGGGTGAATATTTTAGGTTGCAGATGGTTCAGAATTTGCAGAAATTGCCAAATCCTTTATAATGACGTGACCTTTCAATTGACCCATGTGACCTCAAATGACCTCAGATTGTCACCAAACTTTTTTTAGGGCATCAAGCTCAAGGGCTTGACCCACGTACCAAATTTGGTGACCATCGGTCCATAAATGGCGGAATTATCACGGGTGGACAGACACACACACACACACACAGGGTGAATACAAAACCTGGTCAACCCTTCAGGGACCAGGTCATAAAAGCAGCTAGGTTATCAGGTTAACCTCAGGCTCTTATTCTGAAAGTCCATGTTGATGTTTTTAAAGAGCACAGTGACTTTTAAAGGTTAGAATGACTTCAGTAAATTCACAGTAAATAAAGATAAGGTCATATTAACCTTCACACATGACATTAAGGGGAACACCCACTAACAAAGGGAAAAACACATCATACTTTTATGACTTCTAGACTTACCCACAGCACCACTATGAAGAACTGTAATGTTATTTTTAAAAGTTAAATTAATCAGATAATCAGCGTAAAAGTGCACTATGAAACTGTCTGATGCTCGTCTTTGCCTGGAAAGCTTCATGGCATTAAACACGTCTATCTTGGATTCATTTCACTGAAGATGTTTGCTGTATGTGTTTTTTCAGTGTGTTTTGCTCAGAAATACATTCACAAACATGCATTCTAACTGAGTGAAGTCACCTCTCCACAGATCTGACTTGTAACTTGGACCTGGTAGCATCACCTATTTGAGATACAGTAGATCCTGAAATAAATGTCAAAAACGAATGACGGTATGGATGTGTTATTTGCTAATTGATATTTTGTGTATTTTTTAGGGCGAGGGAGGAGCTCCAGGAGACGCAGGAGTTCACGGAAAACCAGGCTCCAAAGGACTGCAGGGCTCAGTGGTGAGTGAGGCCCAAACATCCAGAGCAGACGGTAAAAAGACCTGGTCTAGTCCTGGTTTAGACTTGGTTCAGTCCTGGTCTAGTCCTGGTCTGGCCTGATTCATCAGTCGGTTTCACTTCGTGGAAACCATCTGACCTTGCAGCATTAAGATTCGTTGTGATCGTCGTGATGTATGTAATGTACCACTAATGAGGTTAACTGGTATATTAAGCTTTTGCCAAATCCAGTAGGAAGAAGGACAATAACGTCTTTCCTCTTGATAAAATTCACCAAACATTCTCTTTGTTCTGACTTGAAATCCTCAATCTCGAGAATTATTGTCAACATAGAATGCTTGGCTCTTCGCTGATTGGCTGGTGCCTGAACTCGCACTTCCAGGGTTTTTGCAAATCGTCTAGTGTATTCTGATTCCTGATGTAGAGCTGGAGAGGAATGAACTTGAGTGGAGGCACTAGGTGGCGCCAGCCTGGCTAGTCCTGGTTTAGTTCTTGGCTAGTTCTAGTCCTGGTTTAGACCTGGTTTAGACCTGGTTTATATATATATATATTTATTTATAGGTTCAGCAATGGATTAGACCAGATCAGAGCAGTTTTGTAAAATGTCAAATGTTCTGTTGTTTTTAGGGGGCAAAAGGTGAAGTGGGACCTGATGGAGAGAAGGTAAGACTTTATTTATGACAAAATAGCTTTGTTGAAAATCTATTTTAGTTTTGAAATCTATAAGAGTTGAAGACTTTAAGTGATTATTACAGAGCGCCTACACCTACTATTTACACTGCAGTCAAACCGCCATCAATGAACAAAGACCTCTTTAACAAAGACGCAATTTTCAGTTGCTTTTTTTGTGTAGGTATTTCCCATCAGCAGCAATAAAGGAAGTCTGTTCTCTTCCTGTTCCACCTGTCTGTGTATCCCCTCCTTTGTCTTAAGGATCAATAATAAACAGTTATTAGAGCTTTTATGTTTTTACAGGGAGCTACCGGGAAGAAAGGAGTCAAAGGTGCCAAAGGACAAAAGGTTAGATAAACAAATAATCTAAATTATAATCATAATATCATCACTGTTTCAAATATAAACTTCTTGTTTGGATGACATGACACACGTTCTCACTTGTGATCGGTTTTCAGGGAGGAAGAGGTGACCGTGGAGACAAAGGACAGGTGAGATCTTATTACTATAATTCTAAAGGTTTAACTGGTTTATCTGCCCCACAACCAGGAACAACAAAGGCTTTACTGGAGTAGTAATAAAATACAGGACTATTCCAGGAACAGCCCTGGAAATAAAAGCTGTTACGTCATCAGAAACAATCCCTGGACTTGTGTTTTGTTTCATTATTATTAGTCTGTCTACATCTCTTAAGCTCAAAGTTTTCAGTACAAGTATTTCCAGCATATTGGTGTGGGCTACATATAGTACTTTCCCCAAATAGTACAGTGTAAAAGCACTTACTGACTAAAACCCCAGAGCTTCGAACTGTCTGGATCTAATAATAAAGTTTTTTATTGATCCAAAATGCAGAAGAAAGACACAAGCACAGCACTGTCCAGAGCTGAACCTGAGCTGGACACAGGTTCTCAGGTGGAGTTTGCTGTGGAATTGTTAGATGCAGATTTGTTCGTTCATGTCTGTGTCGTTCTTGGGTCTATCCACGTGAAACAAACACTGGCACAAAGTTCAGCATCTTCTCTGTCACGAGAAATAAACTAAAGTCAAATGATTCAGAAAGTGGGGCCGTTATTCAACCCCAAAGACGTGATTGTTGTCAGTCAAAAGGACTTTAATACATAAGTTTAATATGACGAGTTTGTGGAGCTGATCCCAAACAAGAATCAGAAGTCTGTGGAAGCTCTCAGTCGTCCACGTAGTTTCAGCTTTGTGATTTTATTTTGACATTTTTACGGTTTTCCCTCCATCTCAGCGCGGGCCTAAAGGAGCTGTTGGACCAGACGGATCCGCAGGACCGGTCGGACCTCCAGGAATCCCAGGGTCCAGAGGAAAGCGAGGGCCCAGCGGAGACTCAGGTTCATCAGGCAAACCAGGGCCCAAGGGAGTCCTCGGAGCTCCGGTGAGTAACTACATTATTATCTACATACTGCAAGTATGTCCGGGTTTAGTCCTGGCTTAGTTCTGAGACCTGAAGCTGGCTGAACTTTTTAAGTTCCTCTTACCCGGATAAACAAACCCAGACCTGGCCATCTCTAGACGAGTCATACTACGAAGCAGGTTCACAACTCTGTCAAGGAGTTCTGAATGAAGCAGAGTCACAGAGCAGGGGGCGGAGTCATGCACAAGGCCAATCCAAATCACAAATTATACAATGAATTTAAATAATAAAGAACAAGTTGCAGAAAACGTGGTCCCTGTGTTCATGTGAAGTCAACACTTAGTGACCAATCACGCCCACGTGTTACGCCACACAGAAAGTAGAGCCTTTGAATATCACTCACTGATACAGAAGAACCATCAGTGCGCTTAAGTCATGAAGCAGATTATGACATCATCATGCAGCGCCGTGGACTGAGTGAATGGCACCTATAACATACATTTTTCCCCTCCGTCCCCATGGGAGCTCAACTAGTGGCTGTTCCAGGTACTGCAGCTCCTGGGAGCTCTGGTCCAGACCTGCATCACCTGCCTCACCTGCATTTAAACACGTACAGGTCATTAAGACGTATCCCACTCACTAATGTTCATTTAGCATCAGAACTTATTTTATCACATGCTGATAAACTGTTTTAGTGCTGACAACAGCGCTGGCTAGTGTTGCAACTTCATGTACAGACAGTGGTGCTTTCTGCACTCAGGCTGCAGATTCTCCGCTGTGTTCAGAAACTAATAATCCGTCTGTACCTGACTAACCCTTTATTACACTCTCTACCTGACCATAGAGCACTGTGGATTATTGGGAACTTAAACTGCCCGTGTTCAGCTGACAGGGCGTCCACAGCTTTCACAAAGGGAGGAGTTTGCAGGAATTATTCTGTATTTTCACAACCAGAACTGAAAAAAAAGAAACGTATTCTCAAAGCGCCTAAAAAGGCTAGCCTCATCCTGCTGTGAGCCTGTAATAGCGCCACTATAGCAGCTATCACTCTGATTTGTCAGAACTGCACATTTCTGATGTCACCCGGTGGGTGGGGCTAGGTAAGTATTCAGGAAGTAATGCAGAAAAAAAAAAACAGTTTTGGCACTTCACGTCAATGAGCACAGACCATTGAAAACAACACAATACCATCTCAGGTTCATCTTCCAGATCTTATTACACCTCCATTGTTTCAAGCCCCGCAGAAAGACTCACGCCTCATTTTCAAACCTTCACAGATCAGAATAGACTGTTTAGTGTTGTGACCCCCACCATCCCGCTGTGGGGTGGGGTTTCGGTATCAGAGACACCTGGGCCCGGCATCCCTGACTCCATGTAACTGGAGCCATCATCCAGGTTCTAATCCCACTCCTCCCTGAAGGACACCAGCCCAGTAACCCACATCTCTGTGGTACTTTGTGACTCTTGAGCCATGAGTCGTAACAGTGTAACACAGTATGATTTAACACTCCAGGCAGAACCTGCAGACACTGAATGTGTTTCAGTTCATTCCTCTCTGTAAGTCTGTGCAGACTGAAATAAAAGTACAGGCGCCATATCCTTCTCCTCACATCTCTCTTTTTCTCATCTTATTGAAAACATAACCTGATCTGGAGCAGGTTAAACGCTCAGGGTGTGTTACCATAGAGATCCGGCCCGGAAGAAAGTGATCTGGCTTCATAGAGCGAAAGTCAACCCTGAAGTTACCTCACTAACCCTCAAATCCAGCTTCAGAGTACAGGCCTCTGGTTCTGCCCTGGTTAAGCCCGGGCCTAGTCCTAGTTCAGTCCTGGTCTAGTTCTGGTTCAGTCCTGGTCTAGTCTGGTTCAGTCCTGGTCTAGTCCTAGTTCTATCCTGTTTTTTGTCTCCAGGGCCCTGGTTTGACAGACGAGCAGGTCCTCCAGCTCTGTCGGGGGGTGGTGGAGGCGCAGATATCCCAGTACGCTGCATCGATTCGGGCAAAGTGCTCTCAGGGCTGTCCCATCAACAACCGCACACTGATGGGGCCCCCAGGAGTCACTGGACCCCCGGGTAGCATCGGCAAACAGGTAATGCAACTTAACCTTTCTGTCCCGTCAATGGATTAACACCACTGCTGTAGAAATTAAAGGCACTGTACCTGATCTTTTTACCATCTTAAAAAACATGAAAAGCAGAATTAGTTTTTTGTCAGTTTTTTTGGTTCAGACTTCCTCCTCACTGAACTTCCGTATAACCGTTTCACAACTGTCAGACCAGAATGCTGATGTGTTACGACCCAGCTCGTTGGGGTGAGGGAAGTAACAAAAATAAAACCAAGATGTGAAATGGAATAAATTAAATAATGTTTAACAGAAAGGTAAAAGGTAAATTAACAAAATACTAAAAATATACAGAAAACAACCTAAACTAAGAAACAGAACAACAGAATAAACAGTTTTGTGCCACAAAAGGGCTCACGCAGGCTTACACAAAAAGAGTGGTAAAATTAAGGGACACACACAAAACCAAAACACAAGTTCCCCAAATTAAAGCACATAAGCCCACAAACAGAATCGAGTGACCAAATCAAAAAAGGCATAAAACAGAACTAAACTAAACACACAAACACAAAATGGCAGACTGGCCACCAAGGCCAGCAGCCCCGAACAGGTGCAGGTCATCTCCTTAAGTAGGTTGAGGTGGCTGCAGGGAGGTGGGCATAGACCTGCCCCACCAATCACGGGCCAGGGCTCCCGAGAGCACAGCAAAATCACACAAAACTCATTAGAACTGAGGCCTGGGGCCGTAACATGATGCCACAACAACTAGCATACTAATAGAACACCTGCCTTACTTCCTGGCTGGTTGTCAATAAAACACTTTATGTTTAGATGCAGATGGTATACAAATTATTAATTTTTTTTTTTTAATGAGCTCAAAATGGGATGTTAGAGATGTCTTCAAAAAGTCAGTTGTTCTAGGAAAAGTCTAAATAAAGATAATCTTTTTAAATAAAAGGTGATTTTACTGCTTTATGCAGTGAGAGGTTGTGCTGTTGCCAACTGGATTATAAGACTTACATATAAATAAAGCTTGCATAATCATTATTTGTGTGTTTTCAGGGTAAACCTGGTAAAGCTGGAGCCAAAGGAGCCAGAGGAGTTCAGGGCGACAGAGGACTGGAAGGAACGAAGGGAGCAGATGGAGAGACAGGTAAAAAATGCACCGCAGCTCAGACAGGTTCAAAGTGAGAGTGGTCAGTTTACAGAGGACATATTCTGTGCTCAGGTCAAAAAGGAGCCAAAGGAGCAGCCGGTGAACCAGGAACAGGCCTCCCCGGACTAGACGGACCCCAGGGAGTCAGAGGTAACTGCAGGCACTGGCAGAATAAATGGACACAGCATTCCGAATAGGAAGTGTGCAGCTATATTGAAAAAACACTGTCTGTCTGTCTCTCTCTCTCTGTAACTGCTGCACTTTGGTAATAAAATGTTTGTGGTAATCTAGTCTAAGAACATTACTAACAGACAGATGAGGCGTGTTCTTTCCCAGAGAGGGCGTTCTGGTTGCTATGATTTTCCAAATTTCCAAATTCCAAATTATGAAACTCAGCCCCAAATTTTTCCTTTTACTCTACTTCTTTATAGAAAAATTGTAACCAAAAGCATTCTAAATTCCGGAATGGAGGCAAAAGTGAAGTTAAACATAATGCAACTTTCATGGGATAATGAGGATTAACTTCAGAATATCGCAAATTATGAAAATGAAAACCACTCAAACACATGTGAATAATATCAGAGCCCAGTTAAAAAACACTTACAATTGTGTTTACATTATTTGTTTATTTGAGATGTAACAATAACTGAAATGTCATGATATCATATCTTCAATGTCTCACAATAATATCATGAGGCTTCACAATATATCGAATCACAAGTTCTTTTGATTAAATGCATGATTTTATAGTAGCAACAGCTAATAAACATCAAAAACTACATATCCCATGATTCATTTCAGCTCAGACAACATGAAGTTATGTTTTTTACTTGAATTCTTGGGATTATGATGGAAATAATTCACATCAAAACTTGTCGGAGTATTTTAAAAGCAGAAACGTGTCCTATCTACAATTATAAAAGCCTCTCCAAAATATCACAATAAATATCGTACCGTGAGATGCATATCATGATAATATCGAACCGAGAGATTTGGATATCGTTACATCCCTAATAGACACTACGTATTTTTACAAAGGCAAAATCCACATTGAGTTTTTACTGGACAGATCCTTACAGAAATGTTGAGCCCACGACAGTTCTTCACTTCATCTACAGATTTATTACACATTTCATCATAAATTATTCTTTTTAGTGAAACCCAAATACAATTTTACAGTTAGAAAACTGTATTTTTCCATTCTTCTTAACTAGGGCCGGGCACTTTAATGCATTAATTTGGCGTTAACTAATTAATTCATTATCGCTGACAATTAATTTAATGTCATTAACGCAGTTCTTATTTATTTATTTTTATTGTAAAAGGTTGTATAGAGGATTTTCCAAGGAACAAGAAATCCAGCGACTGTTTGTCCTTTTTCAAATGTTGCGCATGCGTGAAACCACCCCCCCTCCCCTACAGCTCCTACGTAGAAACGCCTCCTCCCGCCTCCTCCTTACGCCACAAACAGGTTTGTTTACAGCCGATGCGCTGCACATGACTTGTAAACAACTAACTACAGTGTTGGTTAGGCAAGACGGAGAAGTGAGGAGCGGGGGGAGCGGGTGTGCGGACATTTCGTTCGCGCGGACGAGAAGTGAGGAGCAGGGAGAAGAGCGGAGCAGGCGAGAGCAGGGAGAGGAGAGAGGAGAGGGGAGAGGGAGAGGGGAGCGGTGCGCGGAGATTCCGTGCCCGGAGAAGTGAGGAGCAGGGAGAAGAGCGGATCGGGCAGCGGGGACAGGAGCAGGAAAGGGGAGCAGAGAAGGTTGCGCGGAGATTCAGTGCGAATGAACTAGCTACAACACGCAGCAGCAAGCGGACTCTTTCTTTGCCTTGAAAATGACGTTTTCAGACATAGGATATCGCTTTCATGTCCTGAAAAACGTTTGTCCAGCTCTTGGAAATAAAGTACGTTTTCATAATAAGCAGAAGTTTCCTGTCCAGGAGTAATTTGTGGACCAATGCGTCAGTCTTTAGACCCTGCGTCTGCTTCAGTTGCGCCATCGCTGGAATGAATCTTCAAGGATCACCTTAGTTTGGCTTCGCTGCTTTTCCCCTTGTCTTCTTCTTTCAGTGACCTCAAAAACGGACTTTCTTTTGTGGCTAACTGCTCCTGGATTCTTGTCGCCATTGCAACAAACTTTGTGCTAACTGCGAGGAAGATATAGGTCAAAAAAAGCCGCTAAGAACTGTTGCGTTGGTGGAGTAAACAGCGTCTGTGCGTCTTGCGTCTGTGGACTGCATGACAGGCGTACGTAAACCACGTACCGGCGGCGCGCAGGCAAGTCAGTTACGCTAGAAACGTAGGGAGTTTGATTGACAGCCTGTCAGCTCACAGATAACGAGGCAGTGTCATTATCTATTGGCAAATTGATGAATTTTTATTCTCTTTTTTTTGGTCATCATAATTACAAGGCTACTGCACCTCTATAATGCTATCATTGACAACTTGAAACAAAAAAAATCCTCCATACAACCTTAAACGTCTGTTGCTCACTGTCTTTTATTTTGAAAAAGTAACTCAGTGAAATCTGATTGGCTAACACAACTGTCAAACTCTAAATCATCCCCACATTGACTTGAATTGCACGAGCCTTCACTGCAGTCACCAAACGTCCTGCAGGTGTTTGTTTAGTGCACTGCTGCAGGGGGAGTCACTGATTTACCCAGATACCACTGGAAGAAAAACTATGATTGGTCCATTTCCATTCCATTATATTAACTCTTTGTTTCCCAAGAAATACACGCGTCAAGAATCTCAGACTTCTGGTCATTGTGCAATTCACACTGGGAAGGATTTTCTGAAAAAGTGAACATCAAACCTCCATGTTTGTTTTCCCAGTGGGATGTGTCTATTGACAAAGTTGATCTTTTCAAGTCTTTTGAATCATATCACTTTTGTTACTGGTTATGATATTGTCATATTTTAGTTTTGGGATTTGGACATCGTAATTGTGTGGTTGTTGGATCCTAACAGTGGAAAACGGCTTGAGAAATGTGTTTGCAAACTCCATAGATGCAAAAGTGAATCAGATGTGTGTGACTCAAACCTCTGTTCAAACTGTTTCTCTTTCCAACGGAATTGAAAAATAGTGAAAGGTGAAGGCGATGGGCAGGATTGATCCACAGGAAGAACGAAAAAGGAAACCTTTGGCTGCCTAAATCATCCCGAGTTTACAGAGAACATTTTGTATGTGGCGCGACAACAAAGCAAAACCCCGATCCCTCACTCAGTCTTGGTTACAGCAAAAGGCACCAACTGTTCACCAAGAAACACCTTCCACTGCAAAGAGACCAAGACGTGATGTTGCTGTAAACCACAAGAAGAAAGTGCAGCTCAGTCTGTTTGTCTTCTGCTCCTCTCCATTAACAAATGGGATCCTGCTTTGTTGGTGCTCCACATACAAAATATTCACTGCAAACTCGGGATGATTTAGGCAGACAAATGTTTCATTTTTTGTCCTTCCCGTGGATCAATCCTGCCCATCGCCTTTGCCTTTCACTATTTTTTAATTCCGTTGGGAAGAGAAACAGTTTGATTAGAGGTTTACAGTCACACACATCTGATTCACTTTTGCATTTATGGAGTTTGGAAACAAACAGAGTTGTTTTCCGCTGTTAGGATCCAACAACCACACAATTACGATGTCCGAATCCCAAAACTAAAATATGACAATATCAGAACCAGAAACAAAAGTGATATGGTTCAAAAGACTTGAAAAGATCAACTTTGTCAATAGACACATCCCACTGGGAAAACAAACATGGAGGTTTGATGTTCACTTTTTCAGAAAATCCTTCCCAGTATAAATTGCAGAAATGAAGTCTGAGATTCTTGATGCGTGTATATCAGTCCAAGTGTTTATTACTCACTGAATAAAAAACATTGAAAAAATATATTAGTAGTACAAAAATTAATTCAGTATTTTTTCTTGAGCCTTCAGAAATCCTTGAAGGCTCTGAGGGTTCAACTCTGAAAGAAATGCTGTTTGCACAACAAATGTTTGGCTCTTTCATTTACATTTCACATGCTCTATACACTACTTTTTAATTCATTAATTAGTTTTGTGTATAACATGCAATCAGTCGCGATAAATCACTCAAACTCATGTGATTAATACTTTTCATTTTTGCCCAGCCTTGCTTATTTTTTATTATGTCATTAGTACTTAGATCTGTTAATCACTGTAAATATATTACGTTAGCTTTATTTTGCCTCCATTCCAGCATTTTGAACTTGAACATTCTGATGTCATAAGATTTGAAAGGGTCTATACAGGCTATGATTCTGTACAAGGCTCCGCCCACAAGCCTCACGCGACAATTCTCTGGAAATATACAAAAACATGATACAACACTGTACACAAGAACCGGACAAACTGTGATGTGTGCTGATTGTGTTGTGACAGCACTCTGAAGGGGGAGTGACTTAGTGTGGGGAGCAAAGAGAGGGGAGACTCAGAAACGAATGCACCAAAAATGAAATGTTAATGCATTGTTTTCAGCAAATATAGTATTTTCAAAACTGTAAAATCAACATAGTGATGTAAATCTGTGACATGTTAACAGTGAATACCTCACACAAGTGTAATACTCCCTCTGTGTTGTTATACTGATCATTAAAACACATTGACTACACCCATAAAGTCATACAACCTAAAAACATGTCTATGTAGTCCCAGGAGGGAAATATTCAATTCTGTCATCAAAGCGTCTTCACTCTTGACAACATTATATTTTCTTTTGCTATTAACCTAAAGATAGATATTATTTGCTGATCCTTACCTGTTTCAAAGCTGCTCCTCCTCTTCCTCAGGTGACCCAGGCTATGCAGCAGAGCCAAAGGAAGGTATGGAGGGCCCCCGCGGTCCCAGAGGTCACCCAGGCCCGGTGGGTCTGATCGGGGCCCTGGGAGTCACCGGAGTCCCTGGTTTCTGCGAGGCCCGAGACTGCACCATCTACGCCCCAGTGATGAGCAAGGAGCAGGGGCTGGTCAAGTCCCACACGGCTGCCAAGATCTGACCCGGTTTACACTTAGACCAGGTTTAGACCAGGGTTAGACTTTAGACTGAGATCAGACCAAGTTTAGACTGGGGTTAAAATTGGTTTAGACCCGGTTCAGACCTGGTTTAGACCAGGGTTAGACCAGGTTTACACTGGGATTAGAACTAGTTTAGACCGAGTTAAGACCAGGTTTAGAACTGGTTTCGATAGAGTCCAAATTTCAGACCGGGTTTTGACCAGGTTCAGAACTGGTTCAGATCTGGTTGAGTCCTGATGAAGTCCTGCTGTAGTTCTGGTTTAGATGTGGATTTTAGTCCTGGCTCTGTTCATTTTAGACATTTCTTTTTTGTTACTGGATTACTGTAAAATGTGTGGTTATAATTACTTGTAGACACTATAAATACTGTATATAACAACTGAAAGTTTGTCAGTTTCCAAAATATGACAAAACATTTAGACTTACTGATTTCAGATGTTCTCTAGAGAGTTTAGTCCTTGTATTTAGTTCTGTCCTAAATCTAGTTTGGACCCAGTATAGTCCTGGCATAGACTTAGATTAGTCGTGGTGTAGAAACCATTTAATTCTCATGGGACCTGGTTTAGACCTGGTTTAGACTTGGTTTAGACCTGGGTTTAGACCTGGTTTAGACCTGGTTTAGACCTGGTGTAAACTTGGTTTAAACTTGGTTTGCTTATGTTACAGAACTCTGGGAAACTCCACAGTTTGGGAGTAAATATTGTAACTGTCCACAATACTTGGTACAGGATCAATTATGAGATCACATTTGTTGGTTTTAGGCTTCATGTTTTTTGTTGTTAAATAAAGGAAAAAGAATAAACATTTGTAAATATTTTGTAAATTGCCTCAAAGCTTTTTTTTAACCAAGATGTCCAAATACTGGACAAGTAAAATGATTATAATTTTTATTCTATGTGTAATTATTATTTACAGCAGTGGTAAAATGACAGGGTGCAGACGTCAGTGGAAAGTCCTCTGTGTTTACACTGTACACTTAAAGTTCATTCACATGATTTAAATCATGCTCTCTGAAGAGCCGGTGACGCAGGTTACCAGACCTCGTCTGGTCCCAGGTCTGGGCCTGATTAGGACTTGACTGAGAGACTTCTGGAAATACCAGGTGCCACAATGACGCACAGCTACATAAGACTAATGCATTTATTTTATTAATAGATAAAGAGGATTCATGCCTATGAAATCTTTTAGACGTCTCATTTTACTATAGCTCTGAAACGAAAGCACAATTCAGACTTTGGATCAGGAACATTTGACACAAAAACAGTCCAATATTATTCCTACAGAGTCTGTACTGTTTATTTTTAGGAAATCAATTTGAAGTCATTTTTAATAAGACGAGAGAATGGAAAAATCCTAATTTGTCCAGCCTTCCTTTCAGTGGAATAGCATTAACTGTAAGTCGGTAATGTGGTCATTACACACTTGTCCAGGAAACATGGTTAGTGATGGTACGGAAACGGGCTTGCTCATGCTTTTAGTCTAATAGGCTGCTTTCACTTTGGAGAATCGATTGATGTCATAGTTTCTGATGGATGTAGGTCTATATAACTCTGTGGGAGATTTACTGTTTTAGAAAGAAATCTCCAAACCTCTGATCCACAAATGTTTGTCCTTTTCATTCTTTGTTTGGGATCAGATCCACAAACTTTAAATCTTATGACTTAAAGTTGTAAGATGTTGAAGTTCAACTGAAACAATCTTTGGGGTTGAATAATGGCTCCACGTTCTGAAGCCATTGTGAAAAAAAAATCATTTAACTTTAGTTTATTTCTTCTGACAGAGAAGATGCTGAACTTTCATGTGGATAGGCCCAGGAATTACAGAGCCATAGACCAGGTGAACACATCTGCATCTGACAGTTCCACACAGAACTCCACCTGAGAGTCATCACCTGTCTCCAGCTCAGTTGACGTCATGTGAACCCATTGATACTTTGCAATAGCATCGTGCTTGGATGTGTTCTACATGTATCTCTATGGTGGAATGTTCAGCTGCGATCACTGACAAAATTCTGAAAAGTGCTAAATGGATTTAAAGAGCACATTTTCAGGGGCCTGTGTTTAGTCCGAACGTTCAAGGTCCTGTTTAGGAGTTTGATTTTACACTAAACGATGAGAGTGACTCAGTGAAAAACTGTTGGCTTTTTTAATCAGCACAAAATAAAACAAAATGTATATATATATAAAACAACTCCTGTGTATTTCACATACAGACATTTATAAAGCACAAATACATTCAGGGTGTTCATTCACACATGGGAGCTGAAAGTGTCACTGTTTTTACTACATTCTTTTACTGCATTTGTTCTTTCTCAACACTGTTATTTTCAACCCACCAATAGCTTCATTTGTCCAAGTACTTGTCTAACCCTACCCCATGGAGATGTTGTAGCTTTGCAAGCAATGTCCCACGAATTGGCATTAAAATATCTCACACCGAGCTACAGTGTGGTCTGTTCTAGGTTTTGTTTAGAAAAAAAAAAAAAAAGACTGCGCAAATACAAGATTTATATGTTCGTGTATTTTTAAAATAAACATATTCATAAATTACAATAAATTAAACATATGGTTATTTGGATAGCTTTACCAAATAACCTGTCATCAACAGTGGACAAAAAAATGACTTGTTCCATTTGAACCAACATGAAATATAATTGTCGGAAATGTTTAAGTTCCAAGTTTAGTCCCAAGTAGATGCAGCTATTGGTGGATTAACCATATGGCACAGAAAGTCAAAATGAAATTTTCAGCTTGCTTTGGTTTAAGCAGAAAAGACCAAAAGTGCATGTCTTTATTCAGTTCAATAAATAAAATTATGTGTCCTTTATTGTGTGTGTTAACCTTGTAGTTGTTCTGAAATGCAAAGGATTCTTGGATTAGTTTAAAGTTCAGATTTCAGTCTTCTCTCAATTGTAAATGCTTCTGGAATTACTAAAAATGTGGCCTATACTCGATCATACATGCGTTCTTAAAGCAGACCTATTTTGCCACGTCTGCTCTATAGTTATAATCTATGGACTCCAGATAGAAAATGATGGTGTGTTTGAAAACGGGGATTCCAATGAGAGCTGACGTAGCTGTAATTGTCATGACAACAAAGCGCTGCATGCTCTGGGCCCCTCTTATGGATAGCTGCACATCACACAGTTGAAACCGAGACTTTTCCAGAGCATACAGAACGCCTGTCCGCCACTGGGTTCTTAACATTCTTAACTTTGCTTAACAAAGTTTAGACCAGCTCAGATCATTAAATAAAAAGAAATTTGATTCCGTTTCCTTGGATGCTCTTTTCTGCTTTAACCTTCCATTCAAAAAACATTTTAAAAGTATTTTCAATTATAATTCATAATAATTTAAACAGACAGTATAATGGATGAAGGCATCAGCGGCAACAAATATCAGAATGAACCAATACAATCTTTTCCTGTTACAGCACAAAAACAAAAATCTCCCCACTAAAGAAATTGTACACACAATAAATTGAGCTCCAAAATACATTGTTCCAGCTTTCATACACTGATCACTATAGCAGTCACTATAATAATTATTTTCACTTATTGTTGAGTGTTATTCATTAAATTAGTTTTTCTAAATGTATTTTTTCATCAATATGATGAAACTAGTGCAACAGTAACAGTACACAGCACCACTTTGTAAACATGAGGTTGGACACTGGCAGTAAACGTAAAGGTTATGGGAGGGGGATTATTAATTAATACATTTTTTTTTTTTTAAAGGCCCATATTACACTGTCTGCTCTGTTCTAATGTCGTTTTCTCATCACAAACATACCTGGAGTTGTATTTTGTTTAAGCTGAGTTCTTCTATCAAACAGAAAACACTCTGTTCCATCTTGTGATGTTATGTGGGAATACAGGAAGTGCTCCACTGTGTTTTTAAACTCCATACACCCCGACTAGGAGCTGTTCACTTGAAAAATAAGGTTACTCAAACGTGCAACAAATACACAACACAGGTCTGTTTTTTGAGGTAACAGCATAAAACATGACTAAAAGTTCATAGGAGACAATTTGGAGGAATAAAGGAATGTTATAAGGTCCAACCTAAACAACCTGACTGTAACAAGTCATAATGTGCTAGTAAATCACAGTTTATTGACATCTTATTCCATATGTCCCTCCACCAACTCCTAGTTCTTGAGTATGAGGTTGTCAGAGGGAAATACTCCAGTAAATAGGAAAGCACCATAAGACCTCTTAAAGCGTTATACTGAAGTTTGAGGTTGAACTTGGCAGGCACTGTGTGTGCTTTAAAAACATCATTCTCAGGCTCTCCTCACAGTTGGCATCACAATTTTCTGTCCATTTTTAATCGCTGAGTTGTGCTAAAATTAATACCGTATTTTCCACACTATAGGGTGCACTTAAAAGCCTTTAATTTAATCAAAAAACGAGTGTGCGTCTTATAATCCAGAGCGCCTTATATATGAATTTATTGGGGTGTCTTAGTACGACTTTAGTAAAGTACAAAGCCGCACCACTTGCAGCATTACGGCTCCCGTAGTCAGGAGCATCAGGAGTAATACATACTGTGATTCCTTTTAATATCAAAATGCACCTGTTCAGAGACACGCTCACAACACCCACGTTAAACTCAAGGCTGTTATAAAGTGAAAGTGCGTTTAGCTGCGTGGGAGCAGTGGATGAGAGAAGGAGAACACACATTCACCAAGACAGAGAGACAGCGCCGAGCCACTTACACCACAATCTGCCAATGGATCGTGGACGCCCGGACTAAGGATCAGTATCAACTGTGGTCCGAGCTTTCACCAAGACCAGAATCATCACTGAACTGAACTCCAGGGAACAGTAACCACACTGACTCGGATCATGACAGATGTGGACGTGTGGACGCCGGAATCACCCAACTGTTTGAACTATTATGACTTATTGTGAATACACGGACAATTTAGCGTCTCAGACAGTATTTTTTTTACATGTTACAGTTGAACAAAGTTTGACTGACTTATCTAACTGTTGTGTTTTGTTTAATGCGCCTTCTAATCCAGAGCGCCTTATAGTGCGGAAAATACGGTAAATATTTAAGATTAGATAAGGCAGTGAACAGGGAGCTGTGGCTAGGTTAAAAAGTATACAAATAAAATTAATACTTGAGCAGAGAACACTTCTGTGTTTAAAGAGATATTTGTTTCTCAATGCCAAGACTAATGCTAATTTTGAGGCATAACAAATATTATAATACTGATGTAATCTACAGTCAAGACCAAAGTTATTCATACCCCTGACAAATTTTGACTTAAAGTTACTTTTATTCAACCAGCAAGTTTTTTCCTGATTGGAAATGACACAGGCTTCTCCCAGAAGATAATAAAAGAATGTACAAGAAAAATAATATTTCTCAGCTTTTATTTACATTTGAACAAAAAGTGGCCTGTCCAGAATTATTCATCCCCTTTGTAAACTGTCAAAGTCTATGGAAAAATCCAAAGTTCTATACCATTCCAAACAGCACAAGTTGTTCTAAAACTTCTTGATTTCCCTGATTCATTGGGAAGAGCTGTTTTAAGCAACTCAACAGGTGAAAAACAGCAGGTGTTTGCATTTGGTTTGTGAACAGTCATGGCTAAGACAAAGGAGCTCTCTGAGGATCTACGGCTGCGTATTATGGCTGTTCACAAGTCAGGAAAGGGCTATAAGGTCATATCTAAATGTTTTCAAATTTCAGGGGCTATAGTGCAAAGAATTATTTAAAAATATAAGACGTTCCACACTGTGGAAAATCTCAGAGGATGTGGTCGGAAACCAAAGGTGACACCTGTGCTGGTGAGGAGGATAGTGGGAGA